CTTCTCAACACACACTGCTGCACAACTCCGCTGTTATAACACACACCACTCCACAACACCTGGCAGCAGGTGTGAGCTGGTCTCCGCTCTGCCCGCCTGTCTTTGACCCTCTCCCCCTCTCGCGCGCGACGCCAGGGCGGCGCTGCGAGGCCATGCTGGACCTGTGCCAGCTGGAGCCGTGCCAGAATGGCGGGACCTGCAGGATGGCCATCGGGACCCCACATGGATACAGCTGCCACTGCCGCCCGGTGAGCACACTCCCCCGCGCCTCTCCTGCCACACAGCCGCGTTTGCGTTGGCGCGGGCCAGGGGCTGATTACAGGGGTCTGACCTTCCTGAGCAGCTGTTGCTCGGGGATTTGCACCAGGAAACACCCGCTGGGTTGGCATTGGGGGTGGGTGCTGAGATCAGTGGCACTGCTCTAACGTGACCTTGTATTGTTCTCATGCTGCCGAATGGAAAGAGGCTCGAAGGATGCCGCTCAGGTAAATCCAGTACTTTTCAAGGTGCATCCTGGAAATCAGATTTTGTGTTGTGATCAGGTTCATTTCATGCACATACTGTATGGGGCATCGCTGCCCAGCTTTGTACCAGCTTCATGATGGCAAAGTGCAAGTACGCAGGTGGTTACAGTTAGGGAGGCACTTGGGTTAGAGAAACCAAGATATCAGCCTAAACTACTGACAGATGTGTGTGTGTGTGTGTGACAGACTACAGGTCATGCAGGTTTCACTCATCTTGTTAGCAATCACAGCTGCACATCACACAGGCATTCGGTCTGATAGCTTCAGCCTTGCACACTGATGTCTGTTGCAGCCATTGTGGTCATGCTCACTTTCACATCGTATTTGAGCCTGCTGAAGTCAGATTTGCTGTTTTTCACTATTAGGATAGGGGGGTTAAACTATTAGGGGGTCAGGGGGTTAAATAGTACTAAGCCCCAGTGGCCTTTCATGCAGCAGCCACACTTTTGACAGCATGTGTGTATTTCATGGTATCTGGCTTTCTTCCCCTCTGTCGTTGTCGCTGCTGTCGTACTGTTTCCCTGCTGCGACATGCAGGGCTGGGGCTGGCTGCCATCATTCTGTGCCCATTCAGTGTCCCGGGGGTATGACTGCCAGCTCACCCCCGTTTCTGGTACTGATTGTCTGCCTGTCTTACTGCAAGGGGTTTTCGGGGAGCAACTGCACCCACGTGGAGAGGAACCCCTGCTCTCGGCTGCGCTGCCAGAACCGCAAGGAGTGCGTCCAGACGGCGGCCGGCCCGCGCTGCCAGTGCCCCCCGGAGTTCACGGGGCCGCACTGCGAGACGCCCCTGGGCTGCTCCCGCTGGCCCTGCCAGAACGGGGGCATCTGTCTCGGGGACCCCCTGCCGCCCTATTACCAGTGCCAGTGCCCTCCGCGCCTCACGGGGCGCCATTGCGAGGTGGCCGCGCCCGCGCCCGCGCCCACCC